TACTTAATTACATCGCGTGTTGGGTTTGATTGCTCTGCGATTTTGATATATTCCGCGGTGTCGCCGTGATTATGGGAAGTGTGCATATGCTTTAAATGCATTACTTTGTTGGCTGCAATCCCCACTGAGTGTATACAACGGGAACTGTGGATTTATGTATTTGCTCATAACTGTGGATAAAATATCGCCGCATTCCTTTTGGAAAGGAGACCAGTTGGTGGATTATAAATAATGTCCAAGTAACTTATATCCTTCCATGTGATGTTGTGGTAAGTCTCGACCTTGTTTTCTCATACTTCATTCATATGTTGATTATGGTTCAGGCTTTGTATCAGGTAGACATAATTCGATCGACTCTTATTTGTATGAGTGTTATTTTCATGACTGCTGCTTGTTTGTCTGAAATTATAGATAAAGGCAAAAGAAACAACAGGTGTAGTCTCTAAGTTCATACATTAAATGGGCCTATAATTTCTGAAGCTCTTACATGGGAATTAGCACTGTTATCACTTACAAACCCACTTAGTGTGTCATTAAGAGCTTTTTCAAAGGACACTAGTGAGCTTGCTAGTCGCATTTCCTCAGGTAGTTTGTTCCATATTTGGGCATACCTAATCATGAAAAATTTTTGCCTGGTGGCTGTTTTACATTGTTCTATAGCCACCGTACCTTGAGTGTGTCTAAGGTTATATCCGGTGTCTTCTGAAAAGCGAGTACAATTAGTAGGGGTATACACTATGTGGTTAAGTAGTTTATAGAAGAGTACCAGATTTAGCCGCAGTCGTCTTAACCATAATGTTTCTAGTCCTAGAATTTCACATCTGGTAGAGTAGTTTGTGCCGTTTTCAGTTCCGATTACTTTCAGCGTGAAGTACCTCTGTACTCCTTCTACTTTTAGTTTGTCTTCTATGCGTATACTACTAAATATGAATGAACAATAGTCTAGGAGTGGGCGCACACAAACCTTGTACAGTAGTATTCTGGATTCACTTCTGTAGAAGTTCCTGAGTAGGAAACCAATAAGCCTGCGTGATTTCGATACTTGTTTCGAGATATGTTCAGAAAATGATAGATTGTGTGAATATGTCAGTCCTAGGTCTAGCACAGATTTGAGTCTAGGGATTTTGTGGCCCTGAATTGCTAGGTCGAGTTCTAGGTTGGGACAGCCTATGCAGAGCCAGCCACACTTTTCGACATTAAACTCAAGTCTCCAGGTGTCACACCATATATCCATTTTTGTTAGTTCTTCATGTATGGAGTTCATAGTTGTACCGATATCTGTGTTTGTGCAGGTATATGTCACCTTTAAGTCATCTGCATACAGTATTGGCTTGCCTATACTAAAGCACTCACATACACTGTTTATGTATATAATGAAAAGAAGGGGTCCCAATACACTCCCCTGGATGACACCACTGCTAATCGGCCTAGGCCTGGAGGTCATCGAGCCAATTTTTGTTGTCTGATTTCTGTCACTGAGAAATGATTTTATCCAGTTGTGGAGGGGGTTGCGTATCCCTAGTGAGCATAGCCTGCTGACTAACAGACTATGTGGGACTCTGTCGAAGGCTTTCCTGATATCGAAATAGAGGATAATTACTAGTTCTCTCCTATCTCTTCTATAGGTGACTTCGTTGAAAAAGTCTATATGGCAAGTGACGCAAGATCTTTTCTTAAGGAACCCGTGTTGTGACTGGTTGATGAGTTTGTGTTTTAGAAAGTAGTCTGACAAGTGGTACTTTCCTAATTCTCTCTTCCCTTGATTTTGTGGGTCCAACCTTTTGAATCTTCACCTTGTGAAAATTGGCATTTTCAGTCAGTAGGACTGAAGTGTCCTTCTTACTGTCTGTGCCAAATTTCGGCAGTGTGGTGTTAGCAGGTGGAGAGCTGCATGAGACTTTGTTGGGACACAAGAGCGACTTGTTGTTTCTGCTATCCGCAGACACGCTCTGTGGGACTATGCCAGGGGAGTTATGAATGGAAGGAAGTATTAAACTCCTTAGTCGTTAAACCCTATCCATCGCCTATCAATGCTGCCATGAAAACTATCTTAAAGAGTCGTTTATCATATTCCATCTTGCAGAATCATAGTTCAAACCGGAAGTGACCTGGAGTGCACTGCGAACACTTCGACAACTTTTGGCAAATAATTCCTATGTCCTCATTCTCACCCTAAGATCCTGCCCGCTGTGTTTGTAATGTGACCCTTGTTTCTCCTTGCTGATGAAGACTTATAATCCTTTCAAATATTTGATGCGACCGTAAATATACGTGTGCCACAGCAACCTAACGGCTTGGGTAACAGTGCATTACTGTTATTTAAAGTCACTTGGGAGCCAAATCCCAAGTCTTGATTACTATTTGGCTTATCAAAACAGCTTTATGATGTCTAAATATTCAACAATGTGAGGGGATAACACTGCCTTCAGAATGACGATCCCTCATTGGCGTATGTGTATAAGTAAGTAAACTTCCCTCGTTTTCGCGTTTCTTCACAGGTGCACTTCACGATTTTGCTGTTGGGTGAATGATAATTCGCTGATCAACTTGAAAACAGAATTATACCATGCCTGGTATCGTTATTCTGAAAGTAGGAAGGGAATTGTTTTAAGTGGCATCGTGGACTAGAGAGATTTATGAGGCCGCTAGAAAATTTTAATTGCAATTATCCATTTCATTCCACGTAAAAGTTACGTGCAATAGTTTAATAATATTTGACAGCTGTTGACTTTCAGCTGAGTAGCACTGGTATAGTACGACACGTACTGCATTTGCCAATATTAAGAAGTTCAAGATTTACGTATTGTGTGATTTGTCCGCGAGACAATACAGTTAGCTTTTTAATGTGACTGAATTTGTTTACGAAACACCTGTCTTTTTATAAATGTTGAATGCCCTAAACTGGGAGAGGTGGAATTTTTTCTTGGAATGTTAAAGAATCCACTGACTGGGAATCCTTGCATTACTTCAGTTAGGCTAAATGGATGTTGCTATCCCTTGCTAAAAAGACTGCGCTGTGTGAAAGAAACTCAAGTTTATAAAGCAGAAATTTTAAAAGAAGATATAACCCTTTCCCGAAGCTTCAGATTACTCTGAGTTTCATGATCGTGGACTGGCACCCCACAGCCTCCAGCTCTATGGATCAGAATACTTGTTTCTACGTATGTTGGTAGCAGGTTTCCCAGCAATGGCCACAGAATGGTACTTTGTTGTCTCACGATTTCGTAACTCAATACAGGAAACAAATACAATTTACGGAGCATGGAATACCATAGTTATATACCTATAGACTGGGAAATAGTTGAGGAGCTCATTTGGTGCTCTCAATATGACGACATTTTTAACACTGAATCCTTGTAGATCATGGTATCCCCCTTCCTTATAAATCTCACCTTGTGTCTACTGTAGTTCCTAAGAAGATAGTTGATTTACCTGAAAACCAAGCAGGGAGCACTCCGAGGACATGCCACAATAAGTTAAGTAAATTGCCGGAAAAGTACCTATCCACTAAAGATATATCATTATATCATCCTTGAAAAATCCCCTGTCACTATATCAGGACGCCGAATAACATCCTATACAACAGTTGTCCGTGATCTAAAGTGGTTTACAAATAGTTTTCGATGTGTTAATTCACTAACTCGTACAGAACGCCATGCAGATTACAAATGGCGGCTGAACTCGGTGGAGTAAAACAAATCTGCCTGGCGATGACCGATATTACTCTTCATCGAATATAATACGCTTCTGATACTTCTTACGATGAAATGGCTCACAAAATTCCCATAAATAATTCACGTATTCATACAGTGATTTTATCCAACTAGCTTTTATAAATCCTATGAAACATTTGCTTTCGTAGTTGGTTTTCACTGTATAAATAAATATTTGCTTTTGTATGATAAACTTGTTCAGTGCCACTTGAATCCGAACTTGCGTGTTCATTCCCCTCCCATCTGGAATGTCCAACTAAAAGCGTCTTTCCCTGAAGAAGACAGTAGATGGAATGGGTGTAATATACTCAGATAACACCATATTACTCAACCAAGACATTAGTACGGTACGTCTTTGACAGCCAACAGCTGGAATTTCTAGTCAAACTCTAACGTGGAGACAACATTTCGCCCAAAGTGCTGGAGCAAGGTAGTAAGAACAACAGGCACAGGAAGAGTTTAGAAATGCTACGAGGTGGCAAGCTCAATACCTCTGAGGGTGAGATCTTCAAAAGTCAGATAGCTTTTGACTTTAAAGTACCTTTAAGCTCAGAAAAAACTGTCTACCAGTATATGTCGCATAATTAGTTTATGTGAACTTGTCACGTCTTTCTAGAATGCGAAATAAGCCCTGGTGTAATAAATAATTTACCAAAGAGAAGGTCGATGACCAACACAAAGGATATGAGTGGTGAAATTGCGTGGATAGAAAATAATGATGGTAGAAATATTCAGTAGTACACTGGTAGATTAGCCGAAACTTTCAGCAGAACTCGATGTCTCTTTGGCGATTCGCACACTATTACAAAGTCTCTAATCGGAACCAGAGATGGAGGGTGTACGCTAGAAGTCCGCCATTCAGCGGAAGTAATTTTCAGAATTTCAGGGAGATAAGGAGCGCAGGAGGAAGCACTTTGTGATGGTGTTTAGTGGGCCCCTACTGTAGTGAACGTCTACTGATAATGAGGATCTATTTAGAGAGCGGTAATGAGGATAGTTTTGTTGCAGACTTGTGTCAAGAAACCTACAGACCAAAGTGTTTATGGATTTATGGTAATTAATGGGAACTGCTAAAACATTGAGAATTACCCTGAATTCATCCTTGGCATGGGAATATGTCCTACTGTTACTACAAACGTTGATGACTAACTAACCTCCCGCTTTAAAAGTAAAGGAAAGTCATTCGAGAAGCATTCTGCTAAATACAAGATTATGTTAGAGCAGCAACTGTATTCATACACGGTATTGCAGACATGGTAACCGGAGATGTGGATGAGTAGCACTTACATGATGCGTAACAGTGCCAGTAATTGTCTGCGCAGCTGAAGCTCGGGGGAGTCGTAATAGCTTGCATATGCAAGTCATACTGTTCACTGTATACTCATAACACCACGGATTGTAGTAGTAGTCCCTTGATACCCAAAAACTTAGGCAATTTTCTTGAGGTATGGAGTAAATTTGCCAGTTTCAACGAGTCTCAACGCACGGATTCTGAGGCCGGTACTGCTGCCAGAAGACTAATCTCCGCAACTCTGAATGCCATGTACAGTAACCCTTTCGAGAATATTAAGAGACAGATTGGCGATTCGAAGGATATTTATTGCCATACTGATAGTAAGTCAGCACCAAAAGTATACTGTAACACAAAGTCTATGAATCAACATCAGTATAATTCACAATAATACTTCTGATCCTTTTAATTTGGCCTTCAGTCAAACACTGAATGACTAAACCACAGAAACCGTTGTTGCCTCCCTGTAAACTGGAGGTCCTTTCGAATAAATAGATCCTATATTGCTCATTCAGTTTTCACCAACACTGACACCACACACATTCGAAGTGAATACGAAGAGCAGAATCCAGTGTTGTGAGAGTAAGCCTAGGTACTTAGACAATAGAGGAGAAATATTATATCACAAACCCTATCCTGCGCAGTTGTAAAGCAGCATAAAGTTGTTGCTGGCTGCAATCGAAAATCCCAGAAGGTGGAGAAGTGCTGGCTCGAAATGAATGTCCTAGTCTGTAAAAATTACCCCTACCGATGATCACTGAACAAATCAAGTACGCTGTGAGGGAAATCGCCGAAATTTTCCGATGGTATATTTAAGGCCATGGTTGTTCACGGCATTCCCGAACTGGTAACTGGGAATGCTTGTGAGAAGCACTGTCACGATGTACAGCAATGGAGATGGTTGGCATCCCAGATGGCTCTGGGAAGTTCAGGGGCTGTCTCTATTTATAGACTGCATCGACCCACTCACCTTATGTCAATTAACACCCCACGTCTGTTAGCTGTCAAGTTCAGCTCCCGAGACCACTTGACTACTGCTCTCCAGAGATGGTACGAGACCAAGGACAAGGTCAGCAGACACATTCGCCGCTGTGAGAGCCGGCGTCGTACCCAAAGGAGAGAACAAACCGTTGTCATAGAACATCCCCAACCCCTAGTCACAATACAGCGGTGCAGCACGGACGATGACAGCCAGTGTCATCCAAGTGCTCCGATTGAATCAGAAGAAAAAAACGCCAACAGGCCGGTTCCCGGGGAATCGGCCAACTAGGATAACTCCCCAACCGACAGCCCACATCACGTCAACCACCCCCCAATACGGGGACGTGGTGAGACTGACTACCAGTTGCCTGTACAGTAATGTGAGAGGTCTAAGAGGCAAAATAGCTGAACTTAGATACCTACAATCACAGCTGAACTCCAAAATCATAATACTGACGGAAACCTGGCTAACCCCTACGGTGGCAGACAGCGAAGTCAGTATAAATGATATGGTCCTTGTCAGGCGAGATAGGGATCTGAAAGAAGGAGGTGGAGTCGCCATATACGTCGACAAACAGCTCAGATGTGTCCATGCAATCGACCCTCCACTCATTGAGCTCCCTGACTCCATATGGTGCCATTTCACCGTTGGGTACTGTAAGTATCTAGTGGGCAGCATTTACAGATCACCTTCATGTGGAGCAGACCACAACCAGGTACTGCTGAATGCAATTTCAGCGGCACAAGACATGGGTTATGATCAAATTGTCATAGCTGGAGACTTCAATGCCCCATCTCTTAACTTGATGACGGGATGTGCCCAGGACAGATTTGATCGAAATCTGCTGCATACCATCAGGGAGGCCGGATTCACTGAAAATGTCAGAATGGATACTATAAGTATAAACTTGGGCACTGTGGTAGAGTATGAATCCATACTGGACAAGATTTTATTTTGATAAATCACACAGTGTTGTACAGTTATATTAACTGATGACGTTTCGAGCACAAACTATTGCTCATAATCATATCAAGTTACTCACACAACTTCTTCCCTTCATTTATATACATGTATGGAATGATAGATATTGAATAAAATCAATATGATTTAATGTTGATGTGTTGAATTAATAAATTTTAAGATTATTTATTATCCTCTTCTGATTTGACCGGTGGTAATAATATCTTCCATATTTCTGGTATTTGCATTGAGTCACTTCTGTTGCATGTGTTGGATGTAGACTCGATGAATAAGGATTCCGTAATCAACCTCTCTCTCCACCTACCTAATATCCCACCCTATTCGACATAGTCCTCCGCGAGCGTTTACAGTGGGACAATACACAGCTCTATCTGTGTTATAACAAAGCCAATTACACCGAAATGCGAAGACTTTTGTCTGAAGCAAATTGGCCAAAAAATTGGACAGAGCTTACAGTAGAAGAACACTGGAGAGTGGTAAAGGAGATCATTCACCAGGCGGTCTCAGACACTGTTCCTTTAGTCACACCAAAAGCTAGAAAGCAACGTTCATGGCTAAAAAGGGGGACACAACGCCTTCTACAGGCAAAGCGAAAAGCCTGGTTTGCGTGGCAAGTATCGAAGAGTCAACCCGAACATGAAGTGTACCTTGAACTCAGGAATCGGTGTAACATACGAGTCCGGAGTGATAGAAGGACATTTCAGAGAAACCTCGCCAATAAGCTTCTCGTGAACCCCAAAGGCCTATACAGGTTTATGTCTGAAAGAAAACCGACCAACCAGGGAGCTTGCAATATAGTGGGTTCTGATGGGAAATCTCTTACTAGTCTTGAAATGGCAGAGACATTCAGTCTAGCCTTTCACAGGCAACTGAACAGTAACGAGGATTTTACCCCCACAAAACATCAAGATTACAATGCAAGACCAACGTGCGAAAACCTGCTGGGTACATTTCAAATTACCCCGGCTATGGTACTCGTAAAATTGGGAAAGTTGGCTTCGGGAAAGTCTGCAGGTTGCGACGACATAAGACCATCCGTCCTGAAGCAGTGTTCAGAAAGTCTCTGCCAACCCCTAAGTGATCTGTTTCAACACTCTTTTGATGTAGGGAAACTTCCATGTGAATGGAAACGAGCCATCCTATCCCCTATCTTCAAGGGTGGTGACCGGCAGAACGCGACCAGTTACAGACCAGTTGCGCTACTCCCAGTGATATCGAAGATATTGGAAAGTTCACTGACGACCACATGAGAAAATACTTCGACGGGACTAACCTACTCCATGAAGCACAGCACGGTTTCAGGAGGGGAAGATCCTGTGTGACGAATCTTCTACTAGCTTGGAACGATTGGACACTATCCTGGGATGTAAAGGTACCAGTCCATGTGATCTTTCTCGACTTTGCGAAAGCATTCGACACAGTTCACATGTTTCTAAAAAGTTCATGGCTGAAAGATTACTTAGGCGAGAGAGAATTCTGCACCAAAGTCAACCGCATCCGATCATCCTGGCACACCTCGGCATCAGGGGTTCCTCAGGGTTCTATCTTAGGGCCGTTGATGTTTTTGATTTTTATCAACGACCTGCCCTGTCAACTGAACTGCTCTGCGCTTCTTTACGCTGACGACGTAAAAATTTGGAGAGCAATAAACTCATCGGAAGACTCCGACAGATTGCAGGCCGACCTGCAAACTCTGGGAGACTGGGCTCTGGCTAACGGAATGCCTTTCAACTTAAAGAAGTGCAAAGTAGTGCAACTTCATTCCGGCAGGTCACAGAGTGTAAATTACACCATTGATGGCCAGAACTTGAGTTGTGTGCCATCAGAACACGACCTAGGTCTTATTTTAACAGAAAAGCTAGACACCAGTGTAAATTACACGAGGGACGTCGCCAAAGCTTACGCCACTTTACACTTTATGCATAGGCAGCTGGGAGCTCTTACTCCCGAACTATTCTTAAGGTTGTATACGACATACGTGAGGCCACTCCTTGAGGTGCATAATATCATTGCTCCTCCGCTGCTCAAAAGGGATGCTAACATGCTAGAAAGTGTCCAGAGACGAGCAACAAAATGGGTGATCGGCCTCCGCAACAAATAATATGAGGGAAGACTGAAGAAATCAAGTCTTTTCACACTTAGTTACCGCAGTCACAGGGGAGACCTCATCACCGTCTATACGATCTTAAATGACCAGGCCCACCCTAATAAAAGCATCGTGCCATTAAGTTATTATAGGCTTCCATGGGGTAACCCGCTAAGGATAGCACACCAGAGACCGAAGACTCGAGTGCGTTCACATTTCTTCTCGCTTCGAGTTTGCCGTCTCTGGAACGCTTTACCGGCGGCCGTCACTACAGCGCCATCTGTGGAGACTTTTAAGCGGAAGCTGGACAGTCATGCAGAAATGCATGGTTTGTGTCTCAATGGCTTATCCTCTTAAAATTCGAAACCACACTGTCAATGGAAAATCATACAGGCTAAATCCCCACGACCCGTCCTGTCTTCTCCCACTGTACCGACTACTCTATCTTTTCTTTGGTCACCTTTGTTATTTCACCTTTATTATTTCGCTTATCTCAACCTATATTATCTACACTACAACCTTATTATTATTATTACCATTCTACTTTATGACTACACCGAATGACCAACGGGTGTTAGGTCAAACTCCATTCACGGCAGCAGCTGAGTCCTAACATACTGCACACTACAAACCACAATCTTGACCAATCCTCGCACCACTCCTCTTGGAGTCTACCAGAGCTAAAGCAGTCGAGTGGCGGGATTTACTACGCATAAGTTCACCGAAGATCTGGAACCTCTACCTTACAATCAAGAAGCGAGCTCAAAGAAATCACTGGTTTATACTAGCTCGTAATCAGGATATTGGATATTGGAAGGCACCAGAAGCAAAATAACCGCGCTCTTTGTGCACATCTGGCACCGTAAACTGTCAATCTGCTAGATACATGATTATATTCCAGCGTCGAAAAAATTAGAATGATTATAGTCAGAATAGAAATGCCTCGACAGAACAGAGGAGGGAGGACAGAACATTCACCGATTTTTCCTCTACATGTGAACGTAGCCACATACTGTTATTTGAAG